TTAAATCCGACGGTGATACCTGGCACTCCGCTCCATCACTTAGCTGTTTCCTCCAGGTGAACTTGACTCATAGGCTTACTGCCTGTCATGGCAAATATGCCCTCCTCCAGCTCCAGGCCTATATTCTCCCAACTTATCAACCCCAGCAGAAAGAGAAGACATCTTTCCAATTAATCGTAGCAAGAATCCTAGGGATGATTCTCATTGGTCTGGTTCAGGTCCATGTACCACTGTGGCAAAGGGTAGGATAAATGCTCTGATTGGCCAAGCCTAAGTCAAGTGCCCTTGGAGCTAAGGTTTAAGGTGGTTCTCCAAAGAAAAATAAGGAAAAATAAGGAGCTCTTTCCAAAAATGGGAGGAGAGAAGCAGATGCTGGGCAGCAAAAATAGCTGCTGTTCCAGAATGATTAGAGGGTCTTGCCTTCAGGACTGAAAGCAGGAAGCAACTGTGGCCATCTCCTGGGTCAGAAAGGAGGCGGGAACCAGAGACCTGGACCAGGGCCATAAGAACTCTGCACAGTTTCAGAAGCTTGGTTGCCATTCTGATGTTTTCATTATCTCCATGGGTTCCTTCTGGTTGGAAGGCCAAGCAGGAAAGGAGGAGTGATGGGAAATCAAGTCCCCATTTGCAGCTAGGCTTGGAGAGAGGAGATAACTCCATGAAAGTGAGTGGAGGCCGCTACCGAAGGGGAAGGAAAGAGGGCCAAGTTCTGGCAAGGAAAGGACATGGGGTGCAGGCCTGACATCTTCCCCATCAATGCTATCCTTCAATGTCTAGACCAGCCCTTGTCAATGTCAGGGTGCTGACATTTCAGAATGGATCATTCATTGGTGTGGGGCTGTCCTTTGCATTGTACGAGGTTTAGCAGCATCTCTGGTCTCCACCCACTAGATGCCAGTAGCAATTGTGACCGTCAAAAATGTCAGAAACCCAAAACCAAACTAGTTACCATGGAGTTGACTCCAACTCAGGGTGATCTTGTGTGTTGCAAAGTAGAGACCCTCCTTAGGGTTTTTAAGGCTGGGACCATTTGGAAGCAGATTGGCAGGCCAATCTGAGGCATCTCTGGGTGAGTTTTCGGTTAGTAGTTGAATATTCAACTGTTGCCAAATGTTCCCTGGGTGTCAAAATCGCCCCTGGTTGAGAACCACTGGCCTAGGAGTATAACACCTAGAGGGCCTGGGGAGTGTTTCTTGTGTTACTTGCATTTGCCATTGATGAGCTGTCTGGGAGGAAATTCACACCAGAGTCTATGCACTGAGTCAGTGGGCTGATGGCATTTTGTTCAGACGCATCCAATTTTGATTCCCAGCGTGGTAGCAGGGCCTTGTAATAAGCAGCTCTGCCTAGGACAATGTTTTTCCAGAGGGTGTGCAAACACAAGTTACATCAGGGAACAGTGTAAGCATTTGAAGAGATAAGTGTTAATGTGGTAAGTTTTCTTCCAAGTGAGTCCATTTAAAGGATGCAGTGAGCCAGTTAAGTAAACAACTGCACAGATGTGTGTGGGCAGGGCAGAAGTTGCTACAGTGGCAGGCCATGATGTGCCAGTGAACAGCGGTTGGCTCTTGGGCCTGCTGCCAAGGTCTGGGTGAATCTGCACTTCTCAATTGCTCGAGAAGGATGCCGGGCTACTTGTATGGGACCAGTTCTTGCCTCCGCCTTCCATTCCGAGCCTGCTGAGTTGAGAAGCCAAAATCCCAGTTCTCACACCAAACTGCAAGGGTCAATTGTCATTTCAAATCAGTCTGTTCCTCTGGCTTCACTTCTGTCTGGCACCAGTGGCACATGTAGCCCCTTTTCATCTGACTCTAACTGCCTGGTGTGAGGTCAGAGTTCACAAGTTAAAAGACACAGTTCTCCAAACTGGCATGTCTGCTCAAAGCCTCACATGCCACCCACAAGCTTGGAGTCCCCAAAACACCATCACTTCTGACCTGCTTGCTACAAATTCAGGGGTTCATACAGGATATCAGCTGTAAACTCAGGTGTCCCTAGCCCCCCTCACTTATGACCTTCTAGCTCCCACTTTTCCCTAGAGCCTAATTGCTAGAAAAACAGAGAAATCATGGAAAATGCTATACATACAGTTACGGTTTCATTACAGTAAAAAGGATACAAATCAAGAGATGCATAGGGTGAGGTCTGAGAGGGTTCCAGACACAGGGCTTCCACATCCCAAAAAGGGGTGCATCAATAGGTGTCACCGAACCTAGATTTGCCACTTATGAGCCTCTCAGGTGCATTGATGGCTGTCACTGACCAGGAAGCCTGTGGAAAGCTTCTGTGTCCACGGCCTTTTTTGGGAGTCTCATTCCAAACCAAACTATACTGCTGTCAAGTTGATTCTGTTCCTGGCGCCTATACAAGACAGAGATAAGCTGCCCTGTAGGGTTTCCAAGGCTGTAATCTTTATAGGAGCAGATTGCCACATCTTTCTCTGTGGCACTGCTGGTGGGTTTAATCAACCAACCTTTCGGTTAACAACAAAGCACTTTGACCACTGTGCCACCAGGGCTCCTGGCAGCCTCATTACATATTTCAAATGCCAGCCCTCTCCTCTGAGGTAACTGGAAATCACAAGATTGATACACTCTGGAGTCTTTGTGGCCTGGCCAGCCTCTACTTGAGCCACCTCTTCGGGATAATCTCAGGCTAGGTGTGGTCTGGACCACTCATCATAGACTTCAGTCTCTGGGGAAATTCCAAGGTTTTAGAAGTTCTCTCTCAGGAACCAAAGACAAAGACCAAGTTCTTTGGGCAAAGTTAATTTTGAACCCACCTGCCTTCTCTCATCTATAGGTCAAGGACATGGTTCCTACAACACCAGGCATCTTCTCCTTCAGCAGTATCACTCATTTATCCCCCTCAGTGGCTGCTCGGCTCCTTGTAAAGCCACCAAGAGGGAGGTGGTTGATAGTGCATTTACTTATAGAAGCTCCAGACAAAGGCCAGGTGAGACACAGAGGAAATGAGATCTGAGCAGGACCAGGCTCTTGACCAAGGAGGGAGTTGGTACCACTGGGGTTGAGGAGAAGCCTGATGTAGAAGTCTCATTCATTCAGCACTTGCTTTGTGCCGGCACTGGTGTGATCCTCAACCCAAAGTGGTTTTGCTGCCCCCTCCCCAGTAGGGAACATTTGGCAATGTCTGGACACATTTTTGGTTGTCACAGCTGGGGGAAGGGTACTACCAGCATCTAGTGGGTGGAGGCCAAAGATGTTGCTAAACATCCTTCAATATATAGAATTGCCCCCCACAGCAAAGAACGATTCAGCCCCAAATGTCAGCTGTGCTGAGGTTAGAAGCCCAGGTCTACACTGATGCAGAAGGCAGTGACCCTCCCCTTCTGGGTCTAACACTGGAGAGAGACGGGAGGAAGGGGCGGGGCGGGTCAGAACAAAGCAAGCAGGTAAAAAGCTACAGATAATGAATAGAGCTCAGAAAGAAATAGACATCAAGAGTCATATCAGGGTCATAATGGTGTGACCTGGGCCAAGGTCTGAGCTGATGACAGTAGCACCAAGACCAGTGGGGGGAGGAACAGTTTAACTTGTAAGGCGGGGGTGTATACCAGGCAGAGGGACCAGGAAGTGACGTGAGGAGCCTTGGGTTAAACCATTGTCCTGGCTGCTCTTTGGAGACCACCTTGAGTGGGGGCTGGAGAGAGTGGCCAGGACACTTCTACATTTTGAAGCCGCAGGTGATTCTCCTTTCTTGCAGTAGTTATGGTCTATAAAGTCCCTGCAAATACAGAGTTTGCGAATACTGGACTGGCCTTGTTCATTGGGTGGCTTGGATTTTTCACCACTTTGCTCGTAAATGACCACAAAAGTACCTTGAGTACTGATTTTAGGATAAAATACATTTTAGCAAGTGGATGAATTTACATATTTGGAATCTCAGAATAATTAGGGTCAACAATGCTAAGTTTGAAATGCCCGGGAGGCTTCTAAGAGGGGGTGTTGAGTTGCTTCTAGGGTTGGGTCATGTGACCTTGGGCAAGTGACATGCCCTCCTGGAGACCTGGTTTGCCATCTGTAAAATGGGGATCACAATAGACCCTGCCTTACAGGATGGATGTGAGGAGTGGAGGTGTTGATTCCTGTCACCTGGGTAAATGTTTGGGGTTATTATTGAGAGGATGAAATAGTACTCCTTTATCTTTGAAGAAGTCAGATGCGTATAGTGTAAAATTCAGTGAATACAAAAGGGACTGACTCTCCCTCCTGGCCTGTCCTTCAGCCACCTAGGGATGACTCCTGGTTGCTAATGAGGCCACCATGTGGGGAAAGGGACTGCTGGGCCAACGTCCCAACTGGCAGCTGAACACCTTGCCTTGTCCTCACAAGAGTTGTGGCTGCCTCTTTAGAGGAGAATACCCCTTCTGTTTGCCACACTCCCCACCATTCCCTATTGCTCCCAGACTCAGTCACTATAATACAAATTCCCTGGGTCCTTGGAAGTACTTGAGTTTGTAACGCACATGCTAGATGGATGCAGGGGGCTGAGGGGCATTGTCTCTTCTTGCAGCTGTGCAGGCTCACTGCTGTGGCCAGTGGTGCAAACAGGAGCTAAAGTGGGCCTTCCTCACCTTGTGAGGGGCTGTGTTGCCTGGAGTAAATGGTGCCTTTTCTTACTGTGTCCACAGGCACCATGTGGGCTATAAAAATCTCATGCTGTTGAGTCGATTCAGACTCATAGTGATCCTAGAGGACAGAATAGAAATTTCCCATATGGTTTCCAAGACCGTAGTCTTTACAGAAGCAGATTGCCACAGCTTTCTCCCATGGAGTGGTTGGTGATTTGAACCAATCTTTTGGTTAGCAGCCCAATATGTCACCACTGTGCCACCAGGGCTCCTCCAGGGCTAGTGGGTTTGAAATGAGGTGGGTATTCTAAAGAAGTCTGGAAGGTGGGAGACTCACAGTGGCTTGGTCTTTCTCTGCCCCCCCCCCCCCCCCCCCCCCCCCCGCTGTACCCTCCTTCCGGCGGCCTTCCTTTCCGGGACCGTTGGTGACATCAGAGAGAAAGATGAGAACCCACCACGCCCTCGCCTTCCTCCTGCTCTTCGTAATTGCCTCTGGGGCCTCTGAAAACGCCAGCACGTCCCGGGGCTGCGGCCTGGACCTCCTCCCTCAGTACGTGTCCTTGTGCGACCTGGACACCATCTGGGGCATCGTGGTGGAGGCGGTGGCCGGGGCAGGTGCCCTGATCACACTGCTGCTGATGCTTATCCTCCTGGTGCGGCTGCCATTCATCAAGGACAAGGAGAAGAGGGACCCCGTAGGCCTCCACTTCCTCTTCCTCCTGGGGACCCTGGGCCTCTTTGGGCTGACATTCGCCTTCATCATCCGGGAGGACGAGACCATCTGCTCGGTGCGCCGCTTCCTGTGGGGCGTCCTCTTTGCACTCTGCTTCTCCTGCCTCCTCAGCCAGGCATGGCGCGTGCGGAAACTGGTGCGCCATGGTAAGAGCCCGTCGGGCTGGCAGCTGGTAGGCGTGGCACTGTGCCTCATGCTGGTGCAGGTCATCATCGCCATCGAGTGGCTCGTGCTGACCGTGCTGCGGGACGCGAAGCCGGCCTGCGCCTATGAGCCCATGGACTTCGTGATGGCCCTCATCTACGACATGGTGCTGCTCGTGGCCACCCTGGGGCTGGCCCTCTGCACACTGTGTGGCAAGTTCAAGAAGTGGAAGCAGAATGGGGCCTGCATCCTGGTCACAGCCTTCCTCTCTGTGCTTATCTGGGTGGCCTGGATGACCATGTACCTGTTTGGCAATGCTGAGCTGCGGCAAGGAGAGACCTGGGGGGACCCGACCTTGGCCATCACCCTGGTGGCCAGCGGCTGGGTCTTTGTCATCTTCCATGCTATCCCTGAGATCCACTGCGCCATCCTCCCAGCCCCACAGGAGAACACTCCCAACTACTTCGACACATCACAGCCAAGGATGCGGGAGACGGCCTTCGAAGAGGACATGCAGCTGCCGCGGACCTACATGGAGAACAAGGCCTTCTCGATGGATGAGCACAATGCAGGTAAAGTGAGCACCACTGGGTTAGGCTCCAGGGCCAGTTGTCCCAAAAGGACCCTCTTTCTTCTCTCCAGTGCGGATATGTGGTCCCTGGGGGCTGTCCTAGCAGATCAGAGTACACAAATAATGGCCAGAGATGAATTTTTATGTAGATTTTTTTTTTTTTTTTTT